AGGTCAGCGGGACTTAGTAAGTAAACTTACAGCTTATAGCCGCTATAACCCATATGTCCTATAGTCTGAACTCCTCAAAGGGGATTATATAGGGGAGTACTATAGGCGTTCTTAAGGGGGATGCTAGGAATAGACTATAGCTCATATAGTAGCCCTAATTTTCCCAGTCCCTCTGACCTCCTAAACCCAAAACCCTAAACCGCGTTCTGCAAAGTGTGGCTAGTCTACAGAGATCCGGAACCCACGCTTCGTAGCATGAATATCCACGCTTGATGCTTGGTTTAGGGTTGTTATCATTGTTATTATTACGATGACTACTACTATTCTTAATATTATTAATACTATTATGAATATTATGTCTACATGCCTGGGTTATATAGGGGGTTATGGAGGGTAGTATTATAGAGCTTACTACGGGAGATGCTTTTTTTCTTCACACCTAACACGAAACTCCTCTTGAGCTATAGTCTATAGTCTGAATTCCTAGTCTCCCCCTTCGTAAACCCTATAGTCGTCTCTTATAGTAATCGCCTAAATAGTCCCTTGTACACTTTAAGGAGTTTAGATCTTAAACCCTAAACCCTATATACCTCCTGGGGATTGTGGTATTACTGTACACTACGGTCATGCAGGATTTTCATTGTCAACAGTAGGAGTTTAGGCTATGGCTCATATGGGCTTGTCACACGGACAGCATCCTTGTAAACCCGGCCTTTCTCGTCAGACATGCTTGAGATGATGTCAAGGTGATGACAACTGCAGAGTGACTGCAAGAAGTCATGGCCCAGTGTAGAGGCTTCAGGACGTAATATTCCCTGGTTCAAAAAGTCCACCCTGATAGTAGTTTCCATTTCTTTTTCCATAATCCCTATATCACATCCGTATATATACACTGTTTTTGGGCCAATACGGGGTAAGATGGGTCATAGAGGGAGAATGGAAAAACATGGAAACTACTATATAGTCCCGCTGAAGTAGATAGAATATGGCTTTCGGTATATTACAATAAGATCCCTATATACCCCATATTCTTTCTACTCAAGGGGGGCTATAGGTTATAGAGGGATAATGGAAAAGACCTAAACCCTATACCCTATCCCTCCCACGACTCACCCTCAAGGCTGGAGTATCCATTGCTAGGTAGAGGTTGGAGGGGGGATTATATTAGGGTTGTATTGGAGGGTTTATACTGGGAGAAGGAAAAATACAATGGAAACTACTATGTAGGGTTTAGGGGTTAGAGTTTAGGGAATTCTTATCCCGCTTGTCATTGTTAATTGCATTAAACCTTAGTCTCTAAACCTTGTGTCCAACCCACTTCCGGCCTGACCGGAAAGCCATCTGTCCAGCCACCTCAACCCATTTGGGGATAGGTGGGTTTAGGGTTTAAGAAATAGGGAACCCTCAAAGACTCTGAGGACACATAGGGGAATGGACAAGAAAATGGAAACTACTACGTTATCTACCACTATTTGCTTAAGAACCCTGAAAAGTAAAAAATAATCCCTATATTACCCTTGTAAGGAAGTTTTTTTTGGGTGGTTCTCAAGTAGTTTAGGGTTTAGGGTTTAGATTTTCCTACCTTCGCCATCTCCCACTCCTCAGCTACTGCTTGCTCAACACGGGAGGTTTAGGGTTTAGGGTCTAGGGTTAGGGCTTAGGGTCGACTCAGCATAGTAAAAATGCTCATTACAGGATCTCAACAGCTTTTTCTTGTGTTAAGGGTCTGGGGTGAACCTTCGCTCAATCCCCAACACAGTAACTGTCTTTAACCGAGCTTTATGAAGGGACAATTATGTACTTACACCGACGACGACGACGACTACTACTTCTTCTTGTGGTACCGCAATGACCTAATGTGGAACTCAAAACAGCAGACATTCTCATTTGAATATCTCTCAGAGAAGCCCCTATATGATGCTTAATAAGGACGCCGGTAATCCCTTCCCAGGCACCCTGAGGGTCCCCCATTTCAGAAACCCCCACCTATTCCAAGATTCCAAACCCTAAACACTAGATAATGTAGTTGATCTTTTTCTTTCCCATGCCCCATATTCCCCCAAGCCCTAAATCTTTTGCACCCAGCATTGATAAAGCAAGGCGAAACTTTCAATCATAGTCCCGAAGCTCTGGACTCTGGTTCAAGAGGTTGGGGTGTAGGGTGTATTGGGCTTCAGGGTTTAGGGTTTAGGGTGTACGGTATAGGGTTTAAGGGTTCAGGGTGTGGGGCACAGGGTGCTAGGGTTCGGGGCTGAAGGGTTTAGAGTTTAGAGCTTTTGGCCTTAAGGGTTTGGGGTTTACTTACTGGTTCTCTGTAGGGACGAAGGAAAATTATTCTTTGGGGTTTACATAGAGAATACACTTCTTCACTCCTACTGATAACCAGTAAGTTTAGTGGTTTCAGGCGTAGGAAATATGGTATTTGGGGTCTATATAGGGAATACATGTCCTAATTCCTTACTGATAACCATTAAGTTTAGTGGTTTCAGGCGTAGGATTTAGGGTCGTAAAAGGCGCAGTCCTTTGCCCCAAGACCTGCGCTTCAACTCAGAGGGCTTTGTGCTTGAAATCCCAGTACTACTATTAGTATTGTTCCTAAGCTTAGGGTTTGGGGTTTAGGGTTTAGGGGTACTTTATGTTTAGAAAATTATTACAATTACTACCAGGGTTACTGTAGCTGTTGTGATTATTATCATTCTTGCTATGATTCTTCTTGCTATTGCTATTATGAAATCCCTAAGCCATAGCAGTAGGAGGTAGGGCTCTGTGCGAGCCTGCATGCCTTAGACTAAAGCCCAAGGCTTCTCGCGAGCTCAATGGTGGGCTACTGGATGGCAGTTGAAGAAACGCTGTGGGAGTGAAGTTGATTGAGCTCAGGATTAGCTACCTGGTGTGTGGGGTTCTCATGAAGCGTGGAGTAACCTGAGTAGGTTTTAGGGTTGCTGAATTTATGAAATTGTGGAATATGAAGAAATCTGAAGCTGGAAGGGTTTGCTTTAGCCTTGAGCCTAGACTGCAAGCCTACAATTCAATCTTGCGTCCTGAGACGTTGCATGCAACCCCAAAGCTGAAGCACAAAAGCCTAAACCCCAACTCCTGAACCCTGATGAAACAAGTTTCCATCATATTGTCCATCTTCTTTCCCATTTGACTCTCTATTATTCCTCATATATATCCTCATATACCCTGGCCTTCTAGTTGTGAACCCTGAATCCTAATCCTGTTGGCACAAAGTCAAAGGATCGTTCACTAGCCATAACAACAGCCTGTATACCAATTTTTGGGGGGTTAAAGGCTATTGGTGTGGGTATTCTGGGACGTCCAGGTAGCTTGCGCAACCCTAAACTCTGAACCCTGAAGCCCTAAACCCCTAAACCCCTAAACCCCTAAACCCCTAGACCCCTAAACCCCTAAACCCCTAAACCCTAAACCCTTAAACCCTAAACCCAAACATTAAAACCTAGACCCTAAACCCTACACTCAGGCCTTCTTCCCCGGACTCCTGGGGGCCTTGGCCGTGTTCTCAGCTTGCCGTCAGGGCTTAGGGTTTAGGGTTTAGGGGTTTAAGGTTTAGGGTTTAGGGTTGAGGGTTTAGGGTTTAGGGTTGAGGATTTAGGGTTTAAGGGTTTAAGGTTAAGGGTTTAGGGTTTAGGGTTGAGGATTTAGGGTTTAGGGTTTAGGGTTAAAGGTTTAGGGTTCAGGGTTTAGGGTTTAAGGGTTTAAGGGTTTAAGGTGTGATGCATCAGTGGACGCGCGCAGGGTGTGCGCCTTTTCTTTAGACATAGGGGCGCGCATCTTATCGCTTGGCTGCGTAGATCACAAGTCATCTGAGTCAAGATGAGCCGCATCGAGCCTACCTGCTCCATCTTGCAGCGGACTTCAAGGTTCTGGGGTTTAAGGTTCTAGTGTTTAAGGGTTTAGGGTTCAAGGGTTGAGGGTTTGAGGATTTAGGGTTTTGGGCTTTAGGGTTTAAGGATTCTGTGTTTTAGGGTCTAGGATTTGTGTTTTGCGGGTTTTGACCCCAGCAGGTTCCAGTAAAACTCTGAGCCCTACACCACCTGAGACCCAAAAGTTTAGGGTTTAGGGTTTCAGTTGGGATTTTGTGTCCAGGCTTCAGGGTTTAGGGGTTCAATTTGTTTGGGTTCCTTCAATCCTACACCCTGGAACCCCAAAACCATGAACGCTACTCATGCATGTGTTTCTTTTTCACAGCGCAGGATTTCTTCAGGAAATGTGTGACTCTCCGTGTGCCAGCAGGCAAGCATACCATGCTGTGGAGGGATTTGAGGACTCCCAGTGCGCACATGTCTTCGTAACAAAAAGTTTGGCAACCTGAACCCCGCAACTAGAACTTCATAAATGTTGTATGATTATAAATAATATAAGCTATATATGACAAAAGTAGGCATTATATGACTGCATTAGGATCTTTTTTTTTTTGCGGTGGGGGTCTCCCAAAATCCCCTTGCTAAGCCGAGGGGTTCATAACTTGGGCGCAAGAGCTTGCAAACAGATTTAAAGCCCTGGGGATTTTGCGAGAAGCACTTAGCTTGCTGGGGGTCAGTAAGGAATGGAAGAATAGATCCGTAGACAGCCTTTGCATAATCTTCAACCATACTTTTTATGTTCCATTCCTCTTTGCTATGCTGACCACCGGCAAGCACTTGCAGAGGTCAGCGGTGCTTGCTTCCCGATCTTGGGGGCTTACATCCTTGTGCAAGCCATGATGTCCCTCATGCAGTCGGACAAGGACACCGGGCATGTAGAGCCAGAATACTTTTCCATGCTGTACATCTTGGGCTTCTTGCAGCAGGGTGACTTTCATTTCCAAGTGACAGTACCGCAACAATGATGACAAGAAGAATACCAAACATGTAATATGACTGTGGTGATAGTAATGGTACTATCGTAACAAGAATACCGGTAGGGTTTTCGTGTCATGGTCATGTTTAGGCTCGAGCGCGCTTTGAGCCGGCAAGGCTCGTGCGCTACTTGTTGCTATGGTCATCCCAATGCCGGCAACTTGCCTGTCCTTCTGGGGAACCGGCAAGCTTTTGGTTAGTATAAAGCCCCCCAAAAAAGGGATCCAAAAGGTTCACCTTGGAAAATGCCCTTGATATTGGACACCTGAGGCAATAGGTGCTCTGGATGGTCAGCCCTCAGAGTATGCGCTGTCGAGGCGCAGCTGGGTGAAGTGTGTTCTTTTGCTGCAGAGCTTGTTGTGTGTGGCTCGGCTAGTGGTATTCTTGGACATCTTTGGCTCGTACATGATGGGCTTCATGCTCGTGCTCGGCTACCTTGGCATTCGAGAAGACATTCGCGTTGACCTTTTATGCGCTTGGGGCATGGTGTGCCTGATGATTGGCACCCAAGACGCAGTTTTGTTCATCCACTCACTGGTCAACCCGAACTTCCCGCTCTCCTCACCTCAGAGTTCGACCGAAGCCACCATCCAGATCGTCGTCTTTTTTTCCATGGTTGGAGTGACGCTTCTGGGAGTTCCACTGGCATGGTGGCTTTTCCAGGACTGGGTTGCCAGGGAGCCACCGCCGCGTCCAGGGCATCGAGGGCAAAGACGTGCCCGACTTGACCACGCAGGTGTGGATGAGTTTCGATACACGGAGCATTCGGGCACCGCTGACGTGGCTGTGCCATTTACTGCCTTCATTGGGCAGGCTAGGAGACTTTCATGAGCAGTGAGCTTTGCGCGTTCCAGCAAGGCCGCTGGAAGCATTGACAGATCCACGAGTCTGAAAATTCAGCCGGGGCAGGTCCCTGAGCAGTGATAGCGTAGGCAAAGAAAGTGTGCAGCAACCAGGAAAGTCCTGCTCAACGGCTGGCAGCTTTGCAAACAGGTGCACAAAAGGCAACCCTGCATGTGCGTGCTGGCAACCGGCGCAAACAGTCATTTCCAGGCAAGCATATCCTCGATAGCGGTTTTGAGATGGAGCCTCATAAAGGCCTTATCCTAGGAAGGGCAGTAGCCCACAAGGGGCCCCTTGTTCGTTTCCATGTTAGTGCCCCGGTGGTTTGTGTTGCGCAAGGTGCAGCATGGCACACCAAAGTAGCTTGTGGTTACACCGAGCTGATTTTCCAGGATCAGCCCATCCAAGTAAGTTTCCGTAGACCAGGCATGCATACAGTGGGGCCGTAAGTTATAGTGCAACGTTTTGCGTTCATCTTGCTTTCTGCTCTCAGCACCGTAAACGCGCACATTTCGAACAACAGGGTTTTGTAGATGAGCCATAGTCTGAACTCCCAGTATCTCCGCTTTGAATAGCCCGTATAATAGTCCCCTGTATAATCCCTACATAGCCCCCTTTCAAGAGTTTAGACTACAGCTCAGATGGCTGAATTCTTGGGTTTCCCAAAGGGCTGTTTTGTTCAGGCTCCGATGGCAACATGGCTCCTCATATTCAAGGTTTCCACGTGATCGAAAGAAGACATCAGTCTCATGCAGCCTTTGTACGGCCATTCGAGGCGTCCCTTCTGGATATTCCAGGGTTCTGTGATGACTGCCATCACTCAGTGCAGTCCTTAAAGACTTGCCGAAATTTGCAATGACATTTTCCAAAACCCTCAGCGATGAAAACATGCTCGGCGAGACGAATCAAGACATGCTCCCAAGCCCGCAATGTTTGGAATCTTATGCCATGGCTTCAAAAAGCTGCGAAAGGGTTGTTACATGCTACACACCAAACAGAAACATCAACACCAACTGCATGCAACACCCTGATGTTGGAAATCGGTGCTTGCTGTCAAGGGTTTAGTGTGCTGGGTTTAAGATTGTGTTTTTAATATTGGTAGAGCACAAAATCTTGTCCACGGAATTAGCACCCAGTTTCGCAGTTGAGGCAGATCTTTGATGAGGGGATTTTGGGCTAGCAAGGAAAGTATATAACTTGTTGCTTTTGAGTTCCGGAAAATATCATGATGGAGAACAGTCGTTCTTCGAAAGAAATCGAATGTGTTCACAGCCACAAGCCCAAAACCTCCATTAACCGCGAACATCAAGCTCAAAACTCCACTCTCAACTATCCCAACCCAAAGCCTGAATGCTTAAATCCTTCGTACATCCTACCTGAGTAGCATTTTTCAATAAGGATACCACAGTCACCAATCTTATAAGAGCGTACTTTCCTTCCGGTACAAGCTCTTATGAGACGAATGTGTTCTCATCTGATTCAGCCACCGAAAAAAAAATTCCAGCGCACAAAACTTCCTTAAACCCTAAACCTTTCTTGGCGGGTCTTATGGGGGACTTAGTAAGCAGGTTAATAATGGGGATGACTAGGGTTGTTATATGGGTTATGAAGGTTATTAACCTACTTCCGAAGTCCCCCTGACCTTCCAAGTACACCTTAAACCCTAAACCTCAACCGTTTGGGCTCTTCTGCAGGAGCTGATGAAGAGAGATGCAGAGATGGCAGCCATGTGGTTTCTGCTGCTGGGCCCGGGTTTTGGGGTTCGGAGCTTGGATCAGCTTTGCTTTAGGCTTTAGGTTTTAGGGTTTTGGTTTCATGAATGTTTTAGATCTGGGATTTATTGAGATTCGGCCGGGTTTGGAGTTTAAAATGGATTTGGATGACGTTGAAACCGAGATCTCTTCATTCAATTACTTGGTTGCGTTCATCGCGGATGGAGCATGCGATGGTTAGAATCATATGAGGATCCAATACTTCCCAATTTGCAAAGGCAAGCAGAAGAACCCGGGATATGATATTGCAACATTTCCTTGCTATAGAAGCTTCGCCATATCTTAACCTCAAATCCTGCCCTAAACCCTAAACCCTAAACCCCGAACTCATATCTTAAGATGTCCTAGACCGTCTCCCTACAACCCTTGAAGGCTAAGATTCTTCTCGCATGAATGATAAGGTAGTTTTAGGGTTTAGGGTTTAGGGCACCAGTATGATGAGTGTTGTAAGAGTCCGTTTATAGGGTACTTGTATACGCTACCAACGTGATAGAGGTAATTTCATCGTTTCAGTCATTCCTCTAAGATTTTGAGGCTGGTTTTCCATGACTTGCTGCAGATCTGCATGCAGGCCACGTCCTCATGAGCTGAAAGCACCCCCCTATACGATTGAAACGCGCGCCATATCACTATTGTTATTGCCATACCTGTCTCTATCACATTGCTTTCACCCATAGACCCATACCTTACACCCAACCTCTGATTTCTGGTACGAAGTATGGAATGATCCTTGTCCTTGCTGTCTTCGCGCAAGGTCTAAACTTTATTCGACACCTTAGGCCTGTAAACTAAATCCTAGATCAAGTCCCGCCCCCTATACCGAGTCAGCCTAGTCACGCCTTTGGAGCCCCGTTGGTTATATAGGGTCATATAGGGTTATGTAGCGTTAAATGGGGTTCTATAGGGGTATATAGGTTAATGTAGGGTGATATAGGGTTATACAAGGCTTCTGCAGGCTTATATAGGGGTGTATAGGGGTATGTGGGGTTATACAGATATAGGGTTACTGCAGCAGAATGGCAAAGAAACTGGAAACTGAATACTTGAACAAGCCCATGGAGACTTTGTAATCTCTGGTCTGGTTATCCAAACCCTTTACCCTAAGCGCGAGAGCCTTGCCTCATGCAAGCTTGTCAAAGCCACCTCTAGGATCCTTTGCCCCAACAATTCCCCCTAAATCCCAGATCCTTCTCCCTACGCGCTAAGCCTCCCAAACCCAAAGCCGTACGCCCTAGGCCCTAAACCCTTAACCCTAAATTCGTCACCCTTAACCCTAAGCCCTAGACCTACCCAAAATGTGCTCCAGCACGAAGTACAGGCTTTTCGGAGCCGCCAAGTGCGTGGCTTCCGGGGTCCAGTTCGCCTGCTTCGGGCTGATCGCCGAGGCAAGGCTTGCTTTGGAATTAATGGGGGTAGTAGGGAAACCTATGAATTAATGGCTTGGGGTTCTATATAGTCCCCCTTAGGTAGATAGAATATGGCTTTGGGTTTATTACAATAAGATCCCTATATGCACCATATTCTATCTACTGAAGGGGGACTATAACCCTAAACACTAGACCCTGAGGGGGGCTATAGATGTCGATTTTTTTTTCCGGGGGGGGGTTGTGGGGGGGCGCGTGTGGGGGGTGGGAGATGCACATAACTAGTACGCTTTAAGGTTGAGGTTAGTTTCAGAAATAAGGTGTGCATTTTTTTTACAGGGAGTGCTTTCGAGGTATGGTTTACAGGGCTTAGAGTAGCATGTTGAGGGTTTCGGGGTCCAATAAAGAGCATTAAAATCATGCTTCTATATGGTTCTTCATTGTATCCCACCAAGAAACCAATTCAGGCTTTGGGGATGTGGAACTATGACAAGAGGATTTGGGTACCCAACCTCCAAATCTAGACCCAATCATATGATATGATTCTTTCTCCTCGTTTTTTTTTTTAAACCTCTATTCGGGATTACCGCGAGACCTTGTTTGAATCAGGATTAAAGAATTCGGGTCTAGGGATCAGGGTTTGCAATTGGGGAGCAACGAGTGTGTGCACAGATTCTGTTGGAGTACATTTTCGGTGTGGATTTTCTGGGGTGATACGTTTTGTGGCAGGGTGCTTTATTGTTCGGAACCCTAAAGCCCTAAACCCTAAGCCGAGTGGTTTCCGCCGGGAACGATGCCCTAGCCCAGCATATGTGTATAGGGGTTTGGATTTCAGCTTTAGGGGATTATCTAGAGAACAAATGGAACGTTGCATGGACAACGAAACTGATAGTTTCCATTAGTCGGGGCACTCCAATGTAAGCCCTTGATATGTTTTCTCCTCATTCTGGGATCCCAAAGTGGTACCCCCCAAATTGTTGGAAACCCCGATCGTTAACAGACAGTGGGTAGACTATTGTCCAACACTTGCTCATACAGCAGATGCATTCATTGGGCAATCCTATCCGACGGGGCACACTAAATCCTAAACCCTAAACCCTGAGCCCTGAACCCTAAACCCTAAACCCCAAACCCTAAATCCTAAATCCTAAATCCTAAACCCTCAACCCTAAACTGGTCACGCAACTATCCTCAAATCCTTCGGGTCCCAAGAGCTTCTACTTTCTGGTGGTTCGTAGGGGATAAGGGAATACATGATTGAGGAAGTATATAGAGATTATACCTGAAACCCTCAACAGGGATTACATGGAGATTGTACTGTTCTACTCCGTACTCGCCACCAGTAATTCACTAGGTCTAGCCCATATGCTAAATCCTTTCCGCCGTAGATGCTTTGGCCTAAAGTCCAAAGCTTGCAGCGGCACATCTCAACCCTCAAACCCGAAGGACACCAAACTATAGATTTTTAACCCTGGACCCTGAAATTTTAAGCCCAGGATTTAGGAAATTTGGGGTTTAGGATTTAGGGTGTTGAATCTGCATTCTCAGCCCATCTGAGTATGCAGGCTACAACAAGGGAAGCCCGCATCACCATGCTCACCAACATGTTCCGCCAAGACGTTGGCTTCCACGATGACCCGGATCCTGGGCAGGGCAAAGCTGCGTTTGTGGCATGGGGATGTTATAGATCCGAATCAGCCCCACAACTCCCCCGCAATAATGAATATTCAAACTCAAAGAAACACACGCAGAAAACCCTAAACCCTAGATCCTAACAAGTAGCTCCCATATTCTCTTGAACTGTACTCGTCTTCCGGCATCGGGATGCCCTTGCTTCTGGAGTTTATGGTTC